TAGTGCAATCGCTGGGTCATACGGTAGCTCTATTTTCAACTTTTTGAGGAACCTCCATACTGTTTTCCAGAGTGGCTGCACCAGCTTGCGTTCCCACCAACAGTGTAGGAGGGTTCCCCTTTCTCCGCATCCCTGCCAACATCTGTTGTTTCCTGACTTGTTAATTTTAGCCATTTTGAGGTGGTATCTCATTGAGGTTTTGATTTGTATTTCCCTGATACCAAGCGATGTTGAGCCCTTTTTCATGTGTCTGTTGGCCATTTGGATGTCTTCTTTCAATTACTCATAAATCAAAGAGAATCAGACTGGAAATTAAAAACATTTTTAGAACTTTAGTGATGATTACAATAATATACATTAAAACTTGGAAGATACAGCAGAGGTTGTACTTTGTGAGAATCTGATAGCTTTAAGTATTCATACTAGAAAAGAAAATTAATGAGCTAAGTATCCTATAAAGAAGTTAGAATAGGAGGATAAACCTAAATGTAGTCTTTCCCCCCAAAACATATTATATCTGGAATATTGACTGTATTCTTACTGCTATTTCAAAGGTATTTGTTATAAAGAAAGTAATGGAATTAGGTAGTTGAACTGTATTAGTTGATTTTCTCTAAGGAGTCCTTTTGTTCTCACCCAGCTTTAAAGAATTCTCATTTGTGTTAATGATAATTCCAAATCTACCTGAAGGATGGCTTAGGAATGTAACTTCCAAGTGGACTTAAATGAGGTGCACTTTATCTTTATGTCATATTTTACAGTCATCAGAGTTTAAGCTAATAATTTATTGCATAGGAGATTCGGTTTTTAAGTTACTTTTTTTTGCAACAACCTTTTTCTCCCATTACAACCTAACCCAAAAGTCCAGTATTTATATAATCAGTTGAGTGGAGCTTTTCAAGCTATACTTCTGCATTCTGCTTGCTTGAATCTCCCTACTCTTCTGTTTATGGTCCGAGGTACCTCCTGTGAAATTTGGGTTCCGGGATACTAGGGTCGAGAACCATCAACATAACATACAAAGCTATATTATGGTTTATATTTCATGTTTTACGTACTTCACATGGTCTTGGCTGTAATGAACTTTATTTGTTAGCTTATGAAGCAGTTGGCATATTTGAGATTTTTTTTTTTACTTGGTTAATTATTACATGAAATCTTTTTATTTCTAAAGGTATATGCCTAAGCTAAGCTTTCTATCATATTATTACTTAGATTGGATACTTGCTCTTCCATTGATGACTCAGATGATACATCACAGGACTTTGGTCCACAAGCCTTCCAGCTATTATCTGCTGTGAAAATCTTAGGAGAAAGGTTTGGAATTGGGCTTCCGATTTTATTTCTCCAAGGATCTGTAAGTATACCTGTGAATCACCTTTATAGTTCTTCTTGCACTCCTATTACACTTTTCTTCATAAGTTTTTTGTCTTAGTATTACAGCTTTGGCTTTAGATGAGTTATTGGAAAGTCAGAGAGCCATATTAAGTTCCAATTAAGCACTGCATTTGTTACTTTTGACAAAACTTACATGTTAACACATGTACTGCTGTTTTCATATTTCAAGTTGATGTTCAGCTCTGCACCTCATTCTAGAAGCATTGTATTAGCTTATTAGATTACAGTTGGATAAATCCCTAAACTGGTCTTTCTTAGGATAATCAAGAAAAGCTAGCTTTCATTGTATCAGGAGATAGGTGGAACAAAATTGTCTCTTTTGGTGCCCTGGAAAGTAGTAAATTCTTTGAGCAAAACTTTAATTCAGTGATTATTTGTAAATGTCTAAGTTCAGTAACAATATTTGGCAGTATAGTTTTCTTCTTTTCTGTTTCTTATCATCTTATCGTATTTAAAATTCCAAGGTTTTTGTTTTGTTTTCTTTTGTTTTTGGCTTTACCATTGAATAAATAGCGATAGTCAATTCAGCTACTTTTTTTTTTTTTTTTTTTAGTGATAGCATTCCAGAATTATGCTAACATTTGCAAGTACACTTTGAGTAGTCATGACCCTTACAGTCTGTAGTCCTTTTGTTCATATGATTTTATTCCTGGTTTAGAAGTCTGTAAAGGAGAGCCAAGTATTATGCATTGCTATTAGTTGAATAAACCAAAGTGGGAGGTAGAATCCTTCACAAATATGTATATTTATTAAAAATATACTTAAAAGTAGAGATTAATATTCTCACTTTATATGTAGAATTTAAAAAATAATTTGGTAAGCATTTATTTGTTAAATACTTGAATGCTTCATGTAAATATTTTCTGAGTTTTTATCTTGTTTAGAAAGGGACATGTTAAGTTACTTGTGAAATATTTTTAATGAAATATTGAAAACATGTTAACTTTTCGGGTAGTGATGTTTTTAGATTCTGAATGGAGTTTAAAATATTGTGTATTTTTTTTGGGGGGTTTTTTTCCCCCAGCCCCGCTATAATTTTGTTTTTAAATCACCAGTTTGATTAGAAATTTAATAGTGTTGCCACTATTAATTAATTATTTAAGTAGTATTCCAAGTTAAGAAACTTGGTTTTAGCTGCTGAGTGCTTCTCTCTTTTTTTTTTTTTTTCTAGTATCTTTTTTAAGGGATAGATTTAAGTTTAATGGAGAGCTATGAAAATTTCTTCTGTCTCTGTCATCTTCAAAACCTGTGTATCCCAGTTGAATGTGTAATTTATAAAAATTATCCTTGTTTTAATTTGGTATAAGCCAGCAGTATCCAGTATCAACAAATAAGTGTAAGTGGGCTCCTACACAAACTTGAACTGGCCACAAGAGGGATCAGATTTCACCTATTATTTGAAAACCAGATCAGACCGCTTATACTGACAGTCTCTTTTGGGAGTCTTCAAATTAAGAAGTTTATTCTTTGTGAAATTTTATACTACCCTTGCTAGATAAGGGTGTGAAACTTTTCAAAAAGTACCACTTAACAGAAATTTGTAGGCATTAACTACAGGGAAAATAAGGTAATTTTTTTCCCCTTCCATTTCAGTGATCTTGGTATCTATTGGGATATTGTTTTAAAAATTATAATTGTGATTCCTTTAGGAATTTAGTAAATCGTCCACCTTAACTAATTTAGGAAAATTGATATCTTTGTAGATAATTTTGATCTGTAAGATGATAAATATATTAAACTGAAAACAGAGTTTTAAAGAGATAATATTTGTACATATATATAAGAAATATAATTTAAGCAGCATGTGATTCTCCTTTCTTACACAAGATTTTTCTAATAGTATAAACAGTTATGCGGCCCATCCAGGTATTTGTGAATGGAGTTTAAAATTTTGTTTTTAAATAGCACAAGTTTAGTTAGAAATTAAATAGTAGAAATGTTGCCTAAGAAACTTTGGTTTAGCTCTCTAAGTAGCTCACCACATAAATATTTTTAAACACCCTGTATGAATAAGTGGTAAGGTATGCAATTATCATTTTCTGGATTAGAAAATAGAAACACGGTACTTAATTTGCATAACCAGGATGTTAAGGGAAACCTCATTTCTTTTTTTTTTTTTAAAGATTTTATTTATTTATTTGAGACAGAGAGAATGAGAGACAGAGAGCATGAGAGGGAGGAGGGTCAGAGGGAGAAGCAGGCTCCCTGCCGAGCAGGGAGCCCGATGCGGGACTCGATCCCGGGACTCCAGGATCATGACCTGAGCTGAAGGCAGTCGCTTAACCAACTGAGCCACCCAGGCACCCCGGGAAACCTCATTTCTGATCATATTATCAAAGTGCTCAGTCTTGTCATGGCTCCAGAATTAGGTAATACTTTTGATAAAAGATGCTTTGACTATGGGCAGACTAGAAAACTACTGGTGGTTTTAATCACCCTTTATAATTTTCAAAGTATTGAACAGGAGAGGGTTATCCCTTTAATTTTCTGGATAAGCTATTTTGTCTGATTGAAATATATTCAAAGAGATAATTATTTTATCTTTTGATTTTATTTTGCACTTAGAATAAAGCCCCGGAAGTGACTTTGTTAAGCCCTGAAGGCGTAGCTGTGAGCTTCTTTGGCTTGTAGGAACTGGGAAAGAGACAAAAGAAAAGAAGTTAAAATGTAAACAGAAACTGTGGGCTTGTTTCACAGTTTAAGAACATAGAGATTTAAAACTTGAGAGTTGGGACGCCTGGGTGGCTCAGTCGTTAAGCGTCTGCTTTCGGCTCAGGTCATGATCCCAGGGTCCTGGGATCGAGCCCCACGTTGGGCTCCCTGCTCAGTGGGAAGCCTGCTTCTCCCTCTCCCACTCCTCCTGCTTGTGTTCCCTCTCTCACTATATCTGTCTGTCAAATAAATAAATAAAATTTAAAAAATAAATAAAACTTGAGAGTTAGAGCTCATACCAATTTTTTCCACTAGTTATTAAACATCTTTTGTGTGTGTGTGTGTGTGTGTGTGTGTGTGTGTGTGTAAGGCACTATGTTTTGTGGGGAATCCAAAGCCTGACTTACATGAAACTCATCCTCTAGTACGGAAGGTGTTACTTGGGAAGAAATAGTATAGTGTAGCATTGAAAGAGGTAAAGGACATAGGAATAAATATAAGTTCTGGAGAGAGTACTTGTTAATAGACAGGAAATTAGAGAAGTCTTTGTGATTCTATCAGTATCACTGGAGCTTTCTTTTTTGTGGGAGATACAGTAGATTTTGGCATTCAGAGATGGAATGAGGGAAGAAAGGTGGAGGGAAGTGTGGCATTCCTAGCAGAAAGAATTACCACACAAAACAATTGTGATTTTTAGAGAAGTTACTTCAGACAAGTGGCAGATTTGTTTGTTTTCTCTATCAGATAGAGGTTCAGAGATTTTGCTTTTATCAGAAAGTGTTACTTTGGGTCGGTCGTGGGTTCTAGCCAGTCTGCTCTCTTTATTCTAACACTTATCTATCAGTTAGTAGGTTTCCATATTCCTTGATATGCCAGTTTGGTGCTCCTTATTGTCCCAACCTGATTTTTAAAAGAAAAGAATGAGATAATTTCCCTTTTTGAGTGTGTCCCATGGAGGTGTAGACTCCTAGAGCGAAAAGACTATTTATCTCTATCACTTTATTTGACAGTGGTTGATACTGAATCCCTGAAAGTTGGAGGACCTGCCTAGGTCATACTACTTTGTGCCAGAATCAGGATAAGCAAGCAGCTTTCCTGACTACTGGTTTAATGCCCTTTGTTTTCATTATGCTGTTCACATGCAGTTTTACATTTTTATTTTTAGATTGAATGATCTAGAGATACTAGAATGAATGAGACTGGTAAGGAGTGGGTCTGTAACATGTGCCTTCCTTAAAACCAATGCCTAAATCCCTATATTCTCTATAGCAGCTTTCTGGGCATGGTGATTGCCTTGGAAACAAGACAGTGTAAATTTATTCACACAGTATACAGTATTTGCAATTATTGATCATGAGGGGAAGGACAATTACTCCCTTCTGATTAGAGAAAAATCTCATTGCTTCATACTAGTAAATGTGTTCATTCACTTCAGGTTTTGTGGGGTTTGTTTGTTTGTTTGTTTTTTTCTTATGAAAGGAAAGGCTAGAAGAATAATTTTAGTGTTGAGATTGCTAATAAGTACCAGTTAGGCAATTTAATACCTTTGGTGTTACTGGTTTGCAAGCAGTAGAATCTCCTACTACAAGGGTAAGCCCCCAGTAGATGTAGAGTACCATTACCAGTGTTACAGGGAAATCTGACTAGATACTAAGTAGTGGTTTTTCTTTTATTTTTTTAAAGATTTATTTATTTATTAGAGAGAGAGAGAGTGCACATGTGCATGTGCTTATGTGGGAGGGAGGGGCAGAGGGGGAGAGAGAGAGAGAGAATCTTAAGCAGGCTCTACGCCCAGCACCAAGGCTCAATCTCATGACCCTGAGATCATGACCTGAGCAGAAATCAAGAGTCGATACTTAACCGACTGAGCCATCTAGGTGCCCCTAGAGTGGTTTTTCTTTTAGATTAGGGAATTCAGGTTGAGTTAAAGGATCAACTGTTAACTAATAAAAAGAAAGTTAGTGTTACTGAGCCAGTCTCTTTCTTGTTACTCTATCTTTACAACATCCCCAAGTGATAGAAGCTATTGTTGGGCGCCTGGGTGGCTCAGTTGGTTAAGCGACTGCCTTCGGCTCAGGTCATGATCCTGGAGTCCCGGGATCGAGTCCCACATCGGGCTCCTTGCTCGGCGGGGAGTCTGCTTCTCCCTCTGCCCTTCCCCCCTCTCATGCTCTCTCTCTCTAATAAATAAATAAATAAATCTTAGAAGCTATTGTTAATACTTGTATAGCAGCTGAGGAAATAGAAGCCCAGGTAAGTTAAGTAACTTGCCCAGTCAAAAAGGTAGTAAGTACCAGAGCTGTGACTTGAATCCAGGTAGTCTTACCGTACTAACTACAAACAATGTGTGTGTGTGTGTATATATGTATATGGATACGTGGTATATGTATACGTACTATCTATGTTGTATATGTATGTATTGCATATGTATATTTGTGTGTGTATTCTCATGATCTAGTAATAAAAGATTAGAACTAATACTCTGGAGGCCTGTGTTCTACTCCTAGTTCTGGGACGTTAGGCTACCACTTAATATCTTTGAGCCTCTGATTATTTGTTAGCAATATGAGTGGAAAATAACCATGTAGATCAAAGAGCTCCAGTGTTCAAGCTCTGAAATTCTCATGTTTGATTTTAAGCATTCTTTTCAAGTCAACCCAAAGTCAGTTGGCTTAGGTAAGGACTGTTAACAAGGAAAAAGGTACCATGTTGTACCTGGGTGTTTCTATTTCTCTAAATCTTGTTCTAATAAAATTTTGATAAATATAATCACCATGATACTAAAGCTCATTACTTACCCATTTTAATAAAAATAATTCTATTTCTATTTTTTTTAAAGATTTTATTTATTTATTTGAGAGAGAGAGAGAGAGCACATGAGAGGGGGGAGGGTCAGAGGGCGAAACAGACTCCCTGCTGAGCAGGGAGCCCGATGCGGGACTCGATCCAGGGACTCCAGGATCATGACCTGAGCCGAAGGCAGTCACTTAACCAACTGAACCACCCAGGCGCCCTCTATTTTTATTTTTAAGATAAATAGAATGCATGTTATAGACTGTTAACTAACCTCTCAGAAGCCTATATGTTAAACTCAGTTTCTAGGCACTGAAGTGTCTCTGATGGGCATTTGTTCCACTTTAATCTAAAGGCAGCATAGGTTTCCTTTGTGTGAGGGATCGGCTTTATTTAGGCTTTTTCACTGTTTTTTGTTTTGTTTTGTTTTAGGATTTTATTTATTTTATGTCTGTTGAGTTTATGTCTGCTGGAACTCATCCTATGAATTGTTTTGATTTTGATCCCTGGATTTTTCTATGCATTGATTATTAACCCTTCATGAAATATAGGTAAATGTAAAAATGTTGACTGACGGGGCCGTGGCTGTTTCAAAAATTTAGATTGCATTTTATATTTAAAGTTTTAGAATACAATAACCTCTTGACATATTCAAGGGATGGATGTTTTTGAAATATAAGTGTAACCTAAAATACAGAATTTATATTTGCTCGTAATCACTCCAGACAATTTAAACAGAAAGCCATTTATTACTGGGCATTAAAAAACTTACAGATTGTACTGTAAAATAGTCAATCATGAGACCTGCTGCCTCTTCTGTGACAAGAAGCTATCTGTCAGTTTGGGAAGCTGCTGCTACAGCACCAGACCCCACAGTGCACGGAACAGGGAGCTGTGACAAGCAGGGAGGTTCCCCTTTTGCTTGCTCTGGTAACCACCCTGCACTTGCTATAATCTGTACCCAAAAAGTGGAAGCCTTTTGATACTTAGGAAGCTAGTAGTTGAATGCTGGGTGCTTGGATAACACTTTCTCATAAGAAGCAAACACCTCCACAATCATGCATACCTGCAAGAGTAGCTACAGAGTAGCTTTACCTCGTTTGCTGCTTAGAGATGTCATGTAAAAATGCCTCTTAAATCATACCCAGAACTCTAGCTGAAAGGGATTTTGAGAAACAGTATTTGTAACTTCGCAGATTCTACAGTAGAAGAAGTTACAGTGGGGGAAGGTTAGAATGACCCTTGAATGACCATCTGCTGTATTCGCCACAAATACATTAGACAGGAGCAACTTCCCATAAAGCCTTATGTTCATAGAATACTATAGACATTTAAAGGTAGTACTTCAATGTGTAGGATAAGTGAAGGAGGTGGTTAGAGGGCACAGTGAATGGAAAAGTACTTTACAGAGGGTGAAGGTGGGGGGAGTCCTCTCTATCAGAGGACAAGAGAGTTGCACGTGACAGACTAGCTCCCCCAACATTGCCAGAAGGTGATGGCCTGTGCAGAGGCTCCCACTGGAATCCTCCCTTCACTTAGGAAAAAAAAAATCTCAAAAACAGCATCTGTGTAGCATACACTTGCTTTTCCTGGAATATCTCTGTAAAGCAGCTAAATCAGAAATGATTAAGTAAACTTTGCAGTACCTCGTGGACAAAAGCACAGTGAACGCAGCATGCAGTGGGAACTGAGTTGTTGCAGCGCACTCGCTGATGACTAGCTGTTGGGTCACACTGCCTTTAACACCCATGCTTTTCGTCTTGAGCTGCAGCCTATGATTACTGTTTTCAGACAGTAATGTATGTTAATAAAAGGTCTGAATAGCCTAGGTTAAATATTCCAAACCTGTCCAACGTTAGGCATTGGGAAATGCATGTGGATTATATGTGAAATTACCTGCCATTATTTCACACAGGAAAGGAACACTATTTTGGTTATATATTTATTTATATGACTTAAGTACTCAGAACAAGCAGGATGGGCATAAAATTTTGTAGGTATTTAAAGCTGAAATTTAGTGTTAAATCCAAAAAATGAACAGACAGTTCTATTTTACTTACCCTGTTTAACTAACAAAAGCATTTTTAAATACTGATTTTCTTCCTAATTTCAGAATTCCCAGCGACTTCCTGATCAGTATCGCAGACACAGTTTATTTGGCAGTGGCAAGGATCAAACGGAGCATTGGTGGAAAGCTTTGTCCCACCAGCTCATGGCTGAGGGATTCTTGGTAGAAGTTCCTGGGAAACGCAAATTTGTAAGGATTTGCACTCTTACAGAAAAGGTAGGCAATGTAGACACCCACCTGTTTGATTTAATTTTTCTCACTATGTATTAAAAGATTCTTCTTGTGTTCAATAGGGCAGATGTTGGCTCCATGAAGCTGGTACAGACTTTCCTAAGAAACTTATCCTTCAAACTAATGAAGAATTATGTCCGAGGGTGTTTCTTCTACCAAGGTTCATTTTTCAGTGGTTTCTTTTATAATTTCTGGTTTTTTATTGTTGAATGTCAAATTATACCAGTTCACGGGCACCACAAAGATAAAATGAGTAAAAATTGTTTTGCATACCTCTTTTAGCTAGTTTGAATATGGGAATTAGTGGGTGAAAGATAAATCATAGAACATTTCTTGATTGATAGGAAGTAGTTGAGTATAGTATTTAGAAAGCTACTTTCCCATTGATTAAAGAAGCAGCACTGAGATCAATGTTGAAGAATCCATATATCATATTTCCTTCTTATGTGTGGAAGGTGGGAAGGGAATACACTTGTTGCCTTCTTTTTTGTACCTTACATGTTATCGATCATTTATGGGTTTTTTTCCTTTTTTAAAAAATTGAGATATAATTGACATATAACATTGTGTAAGTTTGAAGTGTACAACATGTCGGTGTGATAGATTTATATATTGTAATATGATTACTACAGTGGCTTAGCTAATACCTCTGTCATGTCACATAATTATCATTTCTTTTTTTTTTTTTAAAGATTTTATTTATTTATTTGAGAGAGAGAGAATGAGAGACAGAGAGCACGAGAGGGAAGAGGGTCAGAGGGAGAAGCAGACCCCCGCTGAGCAGGGAGCCCGATGTGGGACTCGATCCCGGGACTCCAGGATCATGACCTGAGCCGAAGGCAGTCACTTAACCAACTGAGCCACCCAGGCGCCCATATAATTATCATTTCTGTGTTGAGAACAACCTAGTCTCTTCACAACCTTGAAGTTTATAATGCAGTATTGTTGACGGTAATCCCCATATTGTGCATTAGATTATCAATTTTTCTTTTAAACTTAAAAAACTCTAAAGATCTTTAAACTTTATTTTTTTACATTTATTTAAAGATTTTATTTATTTATTTGACAGGGAGAGAGACAGCGAGAGAGGGAACACAAGCAGGGGGAGTGGGTGAGGGAGAAGCAGGCTTCCCGCCAAGCAGGGAGCCTGATGCGGGGCTTGAGCCCAGGACCCTGGGATCATGACCTGAGTGAAAGGCGGATGCTTAAACGACTGAGCCACCCAGGCGCCCCGAGCTTTAAACTTTAAAGAGTTTAAAAAGCACTTTCCAGAGCTTGTTCTAAAAAAAAAAATTTAATTAAAAAAAATCTCAGTTTTGGGATGCCTGAGGTGCTCTGTCAGTTAAACGTCTGCCTCTAGCTCAGGTCATGATCCCAGGGTCCTAAGATCGAGTCCTGCATCTGGTTCCCTGCTCAGCGGGGAGCCTGCTTCTCCCTCTGCCTGCCACTCCCCTTGCTTGTGTTCTCTCTCTCTGACAAATAAATAAATAAAATCTTTAAAAATAAATTAAAAAAATCTCAGTTTTAAAACAGTAAGAGTCTCATCTGTGTTTCTGAGAGTGGATGCATTATGATATTAGATAATTAGATAATTACATTTTAGCATTTGAGATAATTTAATTTTATTATTTTTTAGTTCTAAAACTGTACCACCTGGCATTGAACAGCGTTCCTCTAATCAAGTACCAACTGAATTAACCACAGAGAAGAAGGTTGGTTTGTTAAAGAGGTGGTTCTTACTGATTTCCTTTTTTATTGAATGAAATGCCGTATGTAACAAAATATAAACTTTGGAAAGAGTTGTGTTGTGAATAGAATAAAATATGCAGTATGTGATTTCTGGGGCTAATAAGACAGTTAAAAATATTTGAGAAAGTAACTTATTTTAATTTTTTTAAAGCCTATTTTATAACTCATTTGGCCTGGAGTTTTTTTTACACATTATGATACACATAATTGATAAAAAAAATAAGCATGATTCCTAAATGTTCTCATTAAAGCTATACACACACTCACACACACTTGCACACATACTTTCTTGCTTTGTTTTTGGATCTTAAATAACAATTACAGATTAAAGACCCACAGGCAGACTTCAGCTAATTGGAACACTGGAGTAATACGAAAATGTGCTGAATTAAATTTTTTGGTAAAGTTTTTCTGTTTTATTAAAGTATGCAGAATTTAACTGAATCAATTTATACCTTTGGCATCTGCTGTGCCTCAAATAATTACTTTGATCATATATTCTCTATAGATTTGGGAGAAATAGGACATTACATTTCTAACTGCCTTTAGAATCCTAGAAGTTGATAATCCAAGAGCTATTTTCAGGTGATGACTTTTATTTGATGACTTGGTTAATCAGAGGAAAAATTGTCATTGTGAGATTTTTGTATCCTTTTTTTTTTTTTTTTTGTATTTGAAAGTTTTTGAAACTTCTGATTTTTTGTAATGGACCTTTATATGTTTAAAAGCAGCCTAACTTGGAGAAGATGTATTCTCATAAAGGATCTGATAAAATTTCTTCTGGGAGAAACATTCCTAAAAAAAGGTACAGAGTTCAAAATGTTTATGTTCTATGTTTACTGTATCAACACCTTTTTTCTTTCTTCCCTAAAGAGAAAGGTCTATCAGATGTTGGGCTATTTCATTGGCAGAAGGAAGTTAAAGTTAAAGCATAAGCCTCCAGTATTGTAATTATTAAAGAAGACCTATAAAATGATAGTATTAATGTTAATTTAATAGCTAATACTTCTTGGGTATTATTGTTTGCCAAGCCGTATGCTAAATGCTAAGTATTTTATTTGTAATATTTCATTTAATTGTTACAACGATCTATGAGTTAGCTTCTATTATTTATTCCCATTTTCAAGTTGAAGATACCAGGGGTTAAGAAGTTAACTAACTAACATATGGCAGAGCTGACTTTCAAATCTATATTCATCAACCTCTAGCATCTAAACACTCATTACATATGTATAAAATATATATTCCAAGGCCATATAAAATATATTTTATGGCAGCATAAAATGGTAGATATTAGAGTTGGTAGAAATAGTGAAGGTACCTGTTGTACTTTGGAACTTAATATTTGACTTGCTGACTTAATGAAAGTGTGGAGAATGTACAGAATTACAGAAGGTCTAAAGATGGAGAATTTGAAAAACTTGTCAGGACCTATATACAGATTATTGAATGGACTTTGTTTATATACATATCAGGTGAATGTAAGTTAATGTGCTCTGATACTGTTACTTTCTAGTGGATTTCTCACTTAGATAATACTATTTTGGATCTGACAGAAACATTTACCATAATACCAGTCTCTCACTCAAAACAATTCCTTTTTGTTTAGATATGGGGTAATTAATTACAATGTGTAAGCAAAAGGGTTAAGGAGTATATAGAACAAGATATCCGTTCAGTGTGCTGAAGCATTTCTTTATTTAAACATTTATTATGTTTTTGCCAAACATCTTTGTGCCAGGTATTACTCTAGGCATTGGGATTTGGTGGGGAAAAATGGAGATACAGTCACTGGCCCTCCCAGGGTTTATACTCTAGTGGGATATACAGGTAGGGGAACATAAAATTAGAATCCAGGGTTGTAGCACTTTGGAAACACACTTTGGAAATGACACTTGAGGCTTAGGTAGAAGTTCAGTGACGTGAGGGAGGTTCTCTGAGCAGAGGAATGGCCGACGTATTAAAACCTGAAAGCAAGAGAGGGTGTGATATGATCAAGGAACTCAACAGTCCTAGCAATTACCTGGTAAAGGGAAGCAGGGGGGATGGTGAAAATTTAAGACTGAGAATTAAATAGGGTCCAGAATATCCAGTTCCTGTCAAGCCCTCAACTTGATCATAAAGGCATTTGAGTTGGGAGCTAAGGAAGGATTTTCAGTAGGACAGTGACATCAAATTTATGATTGAGAACAGAGGTTGACATTTCCATCAAGGATCAGATAGTAAATAATTTAGGCTCTGAGGGCTATGTGGTCCTGTCTAACTTTGCTCTTCTAGCCTTAAAGCAGCCATAGTTGATATGTAAAGAAATGAGTGGGGGGCGCCTGGGTGGCTCAGATGGTTAAGTGTCTGCCTTCAGCTCAGGTCATGATCCTAGGGTCCTGGGATCGAGCCCCACATCGGGCTCCTGGCTCAGCGAGGAGCCTGCTTCTCCCTCTCCCTCTGCCTCTTTCCCTGCTCATGCTTTCTCTCTCTCTCTCTCTCTATCTCTGTGTCTCAAATGAATAAACAAAATCTTTAAAAAAAAAAAATGAGTGTGGCTGTGTTCCAATAAAACTTTATTTATGGACCCTGAAATGTGAATTTCATATAATTTTCACATGTCACAAAATGTTCTTTTAATTTTTTTTAACTGTTTAAAAATGTAAGAAACCATCCTTAGCTTACAAGCCTTACCAGAACAGACAGGTTTGTCCTGTGCGCCCTAGTGTGCCAACCCTTGATCGGTGACTCTGGTTGTGGAGGGAATGGAAGGCAGGAGGATCAGAGTGTAGAGACACAAATAAGGAGGCTATATTGCAGTAGCATTCACAAGAGAAGGTGGGACCTTAGACGAGGGAAGTGGCAGTGGGCATGGAAGGAAACAACTGTAAGATATTTAGGAGCTAGAATTGTTAGGACTCAGTGATTGAAAAGACACGTGGGCTAAAGAAAGTGGAGAACTTGAACATGACACTTAGGTTTGTGTCTGATCGCAGGTTCCCTTCATTGGCAACATAAGAGGAACACAGGTTTGAGAGGTTGGATATTTAGGGGATGAGTTTAGTGATAGACATACTGGGTTTGACATACCTGTGGAGTCACCCAGAAATTACTTTTAATATATGGGCTTAGTGTATAGGAGTGAGAAAGATGCTTACACATCAATAACTCTTATTTTGAAGTTCATTTGAATTTTCATTAAAATAATTCATGTACATGGTTTTAAAAGTCAATTGGTACTTAATGGCATATAACAAAACAAGCCAGTTCACAACCTTCCCAAACCCACTTTGCTCTGTTCTGTAGAAGTGGTCATCCTCAAATCTTTATCAGCTGGTCTCACTGATATTTGCCTCCATTTTTTTTAAGGGGGGGAGGGGCAGAAGGAGATGGAGAGAGAGAATCTCAAGCAGACTTCCCGCTGAGCACAGAGCCTGTCCTGGGGCTCGATCTCATGACCCTGAGATCATGACCTGAGCCAAAATCAAGAGTCAGACACTTAACAAACTGAGCCACCCAGGTGCCCCTGCCTCCATATTTCTAAGTGACATGCTTAGATTACTATTTTTGGACCTATCAGTTTTAGAAGTTTTTTTGTTGACCTATAATGGTAGATTAGGACTTATCTCCCATATGCCCTTCCCCCATTTCCCTTCCTTCAGTTCCCCCCTTGACCAAAACAGAATTATATTTCACGTTTTGGTCATATTAACAATTTGTTTTTACGTTATTATACTTAACACAAATATTGTATACTACTAAGCCAAACTGTGGCTATGGCCACCACTACTTTAATTTTCCTTGATGTTAGTAATTGTCTTTTTTGTTACTCATTTTTCTTTTCTCTTGTTTTCAATTTCTTTTTGTTTGTTTACTCCCTTGGATTCCTTGACTTTATATTCCCTTCCATCTAGTAAGATTTTAATTTTAGTTATTGAAATCTTAATTTCTAAGAACTATTTCTTCTTCTGTTTCTTCTTTCTTTAACATAGCAATCTTTTCTTGTTTCGTGGGTAGAACATCTCCACTTTTTTTTTTTTTTCAAAAGATTTATTTATTTATTAGAGAGAGAGCATGAGGCAGGGAGGGGCAGAGGGAGAGGGAGAGAGAAACTCTAGCAGAGTGCAGAGCCTGATGCAGGGCTTGATCCCATGACCCTGAGATCACGACCTGAGCCAAAACCAAGACTTGGATGTTTAACCGACTGTGTCACCCAGGCGCCCCCAACATCTCCACTTTTTGATGATACTCGTTATAGTTATTTTGGACTTTTCTTCTGTGCACTTGTAATAGCATTCATTGGCAAAACATTTATTATTAAATGTTTTCCATGTGTATTTCTGCTTCAGGGTATATTACCCATATTTTGCCAGTATATATGATAATAAAATTTATTTGTGAAATAACTTAAAATACCATTCTGCAAGCAGTACATTAGTATAAAGACTTTTATAAATACTAAGATAAAGGTTAATATAATTATATTATTTAAAACAAATTAATGATCTTGAGTAACCTGATATTACTAATTCTTTGAACTGGAGTTATTTTTTCTCAGGTTTAAATCTCCTTATTTTAGTGATAAGATTTGATAATTGTGAAAATCTTCCTTTACACTATAGATTTTGAATTCTTGCAGCAGAGAAATTTATAAACATTTCTTAACTATCAAACATGTTCCCTCCTTTCCTTACCAACAGAGGGCTTTATTTAAATTTGGCATCTCTTATATAGGCCACTCCATACAATTTCATTTTTATATCTTTTCATCTTTATAATTAATTTATCAATGAGAAATGCTTGTTGTAGAAATTGGTTTTCTGTCTAGTTTGCTGCCTAGCACCTTCCATGTTGTTTGCTAATTGCATGTTTTTTAATCTTTCTTTTGTGGAGTCAAAAGAGAAATTATTCCCTTTGGCTTATTTTTGTTTGATTTTGAAGAAAATTGTGAACAGTTTGATTAATCCCATGCTAATGTTCCTCACCAGCCAAAAATTAGTGATGTCACAGTAAAGAATCATAGATTGTATCTCTCTTGGTCAAAAAAAGTTATCTTCAGTATAGATAAGGAGTATTTCAAAGAATATGGTTGAGGACGAGGACGGGGCAAATGCTGTTTTTAAGTATACTAAATTTTGATGAATTCAAATTACAGTTTTAACTTTACCATTATAATGAATGCATTTGATTGAAATTGTTTAAAATCTAGGCTGTCATATAAATCACAGTTATTTTACTGGTATTATGAAGAGTAAATGTTACTATTGACTTGGAACAATATTCTCGTTTGGGGGTGATATAAAAAGTGAACTTGGTGAAAGAAAAACCTTTACTGCTTATTTTCTTTTAAATATTTTAGCATCACGGTGCATTCACCAGGAAAATCTTGCAAGTCCTCAGAACCTGTTATTTCAGCTCAAGAGCAGGAGACTCAGGTACAGCTTTTGTGAAAAGGCAGAATTTGAAATGATTATATGCATGCTTAAAATTTTGTTGCCAGTGTTTTAAAAATTGTTCTTTAGCTATGAGTCTGAAGTACAGTTAATTTTTCATCCTAAGGGAAAATGTAATAGCTGAAGCTCTAAAAATAAAGGACTGGATTTTTCTAAGTACATTAAAAAAAACCCAAACAAACGTTGAGTTGTTTCTTTGTTCTTTGTTCAGACTGTGTTATATGGCAAATTGGTTGAAGCCAGGCAGAAACATGCCAATGGAATGGATGTCCCTCCAGCTGTTCTGGCAACAAATAAAATACTGTTGGATATGGCCAGAATGAGGTAAGCTGTCTGTCTGCATATGTTCTAACTTAACTTTCTTCTAACATAATAGATTTGTAGCGTAGATTGTTCAGTGTCAGTACGGCTTGGGGTCCAGCTGCCCTGTCTGTGAGGTGACTCCCCAGTCTCCCATGCTACTGCCACTGTCTCTCCATTGAGCTGCAGTCCTGCATCTCCATGTGAACAGAAACCAGGTGTTTTCAGCCATGACATGCAGCATATATAAAATCTAACTCCTTATCCACAAACCCTCCATGCATGCATTTAGTGCAACTACTGAAACTCTTCTTTCTGAATTTCTTATTTTTGTCAATTCATACCTTCATGTTCTCAGTGACACAGGTTTAAAACTCATGGTGTTGGGCGCCTGGGTGGCTCAGTTGGTTAAGCGACTGCCTTCGGCTCAGGTCCTGATCCTGGAGTCCCTGGATCGAGTCCCGCATCAGGCTCCCTGCTTGGCAGGGAGTCTGCTTCTCCCTCTGACCCTCCCCCTTCTCATGCTCTCTCGCTCTATCTCATTCTCTCTCTCAAATAAATAAATAAAATCTTTAAAAAAAAAAAAACAAACAAACCCATGGTGTTATTCTCACTCCTCTAACATGGATACCCGTCTTACTCTTACTTAATAGTTTTGAGACTTTTCATTTCAGTGTTTCTTATGTGTCTGTGTATGCCATCCTCTCTCTTTTTTGTGACACCCTGTTCGTTCAGACCATTGCTCCTGGACTATTGCAAAAGCCTCTTAACTAGTTAGTCTTTCTTTCATCTCTCCATCTCTGTTTCATCTGATACATGAGACCAAATCAGTCTTTCTTTCTCATGTCGTACTTCTGCTTAACTAGTTCCCCACTGTCTTAACTTCTTTAGCTTATAATTTAGGGCCCTCCATTTATGGGCTTAAACATACTTTTACATCCATGTCACAGAATTTTGAGTGGTTTATCTGACCATTTGTTGAAGACCCCCTTTCAAATTCCATGTGTTTATTTACAGTGTTGCTTCTGCCTTGTTTCCTTGATTCCCCAAAACTCCTGCTAGGAGATCCTTCAAGATCTGCCTTTATTAATTTCTCCATGAAGTCTTTTGTGCTCTTAGCAGCAAAGTAATTCCTCTCTCTGGAATTCATAAAGGACTTTAAAATGTAAATTTAGAAGATGCTTTATGACACTTCTCACATAATGCTTTAGTTATTTTTTGTTATTATTGGTATACATGTGTTATATCTTCCAGATTTTAAACTCTGTGAATAAAGATACTGTTTTCCTCATCATTTTGTGTCTTCCAAAGCACCTAGCACAATGCCTAATAAGCATGAGGTGGTCAATAAATATTTAGAAGAAATTATTTCCAAAGAACAGTTGTTTGAGGGACGCCTGGGTAGCTCAGTGGGTTAAGCATCTGCCTTCAGCTCAGGTCATGATCCCATGAGTCCTGTATCGGTCTCTTTGCTCAGTGGGGAGCCTGTTTCTCCCTTTGCCTGCCACTCCCCCTGCTTGTGCTCTCTCTCTCTCTCTGACAAATAAATAAATAAATAAATAAAATCTTTCAAAAAAATTTCTGTCTTTAAAAAGAACAGTTGTTTGATAATTGTATTTATCTTTTATACTCTTAAAAAATTGTTTTTGTCATTAAATTTCATCCAAAAGATGTTACTTTAGTATAGAAATTTTAATAATATAGTGCTTATATTTTAAAATAATTATTAAAAGTAAATATTCAAAAACCACATTTTAGTATTTAGTGAAGATAATTTAAAGGACAAGGAGTAATAATTAGATTGGCAGATTTTTAGAAAGTAGACATCATACAGTCTCTTGGATACTGGACACAATAAGAAATACTGAGTTAAAAGCCTAAAGTAGTTAGCAAGTTTATTATTATAGGTAAATACTTTGTAAATAATGAATTAGATTTTCTTTTGAGTTTCTTAGCCTGTTAGTTATCCTCAGAACCTCATAGTTTTTTTATATCTATAAAAATAATAATAGTGATAAGTTCAGTAATAGAGTAGAGCATTAGCCTGTTTGTTCATGCTAATGGCCTGTTTACCAGTTAGTACTGTGTTTTTGTAGTGATAATGATGGTGGTGTTTTTATTCATAAATTGCTAAAATAATAAATCTTTAAATGGTAGAAAGCAAAGAGAGACATCATTACTTGTATAACACATTGTTTTTGGTTGTTGGAAAAGTATATGTTTATTGAGTGTTAATATGAAGCTAAACATCAGCTATGTTGCTGGAGTGATAATGTTTTAATGGTTTCTTGACTTTTAAATTTTTTTAAATGACAGACCTACTACATTTGAAAATGTGAAAAGGATCGATGGTGTGTCTGAAGGCAAAGCTAATATGTTGACCCCTCTGTTGGAAGTTATTGAACATTTCTGTCAAATAAATAGCATTCAGGTAAAATACTGTGGTTTGCAGGAACTGTGAGAGAATAAACATTTTCTGATGATTTCAAAACACCTTTCAAAAGCAACATTTTCTCCCTTTACAGTTGACCCTTGAACAATGTGAGAGGTTAGGGGCGCTGACCCCCACACGGTCAAAAATGCATGTATAACTTTTGACTCCCCCCAAGCCTAACTGCTAATAGCCTACTGTTGACTGGAAGCCTTACTGAGAACACATACAGTTGATTAACACATATTTTGTATGTTATATGTTTTATTTACTGTATTCTTTTCTTTTTTAAGATTTTATTTATTTACTTAGAGAGCACAAGCGGGGGTGGGGAGAGGGGCAGAGGGAGGGGGAGAAGCAGACTCCTCACTGAACAGGGAGCCCGATGTGGGGCTCCATCCCAGAACCCCGAGATCATGACCTGAGCCGAAGGCAGATACTTAACTGACTGAGCCACTTAGCTGACAGGTGCCCCTCTATACTATATTCTTATAATAAAGTAAGCTAGAGAAGAGAAGATGTTATTAAGAAAATCATAAGGGAGGG